GCCCGGCTCTGACCTTAGCTTCTCCCTCATAAACAAACAGGAGCAATGTGACACTATGACAAACTAAAATACATGATTCGGACCTTTGCCAACTAAACGGGTTAACGTGGTCCAAGTCTGAGTTGAAAGTCGGATAGCAACCACACGTTAGTGTGGTCCTTATAGCATTGATGTGGCGTCCAGTACCCCCTGATTGAGGCTGGGTACGTGTAAATTCATAGGCAGCGTTGCACATGTTTAACGACTCTATAGCTTCGTTAACTGCTACTACTCCGGTCGTTGCATTGGGTGCCGGGTGAAGTTTAATTTAGGGCTCAAATTTGTCTAAATAACTTAGTGTTTGGTAACAAAGAAGCGAGCCATAAACGTTTTATCTATAGTTGTAGTTTATTTTACTTTTCTATCTAGTTTGGTTTATTTTAGTTTATCTTTTTTAGGTATTTTAGTTCAGTTTTAGATTTATTAGCCACATGCGGTTGCTTTTCGAGTTGTAATATCTACTAGTTTACCTTACCTTAGTTTAGGTAGTTTGGTTTATTCAACTTATTTATATTTTAGTTCAGTGTTTAGTCTAGGTTTTAATCTAATATTATGTTTTATTAGTTTTATTTTAGATTTAGAATAGTTTTTAGTTTAGTTAGTTTAGCTCATTTTAGTTTACCTACCTTTAGTTAGGTTAGCCTAGTTTTAGTTTTGTTTGTAGTTTAGTTTTGGATTAATTAGTAACATGCGTTTTTTTTGCTTCACTGTACTTTAATCTCGGAAATTCGTAGTTATTTGCGTTGCTCAGCAAATTTGAGCAGTTCCCAATATTCGCATAGTTGCACATTTTATTTATGGTGAGCTTTTTGTCGCCAAACAGTAGATTATTTAAATAAATATTCATATTTTGCTACTTTTAGACGTTCCATCTTTTAATGTACATTTTCTTTCCTCTGTAATGCACAAACTATATAATCTTTATTATCACCGGTTCCATATTACACAAGGGTGAAGTTTTGGTGTGCTGTTTTGGGCCCTAAATCAAACTTCTACCGGATGAGGAAAAAGAAAGGGGGGAGAGTGAGTACTATGTCCCTTCGGTGGTGGTGGTGATGATGATGATGATGATGATGATGATCTACAGCGCCTGCGATAGTTAAACTTTCACCTTTCCTGACGTCCAGCTCGAATTAAGTCCTTTTTATTGGAACGCACTTGTATGGGTACTCCCAAAACGTCACTTATTTACTAGTAGGTCTAGTTCCAGAGTCAAAAGAAGATGGTCATACTGTACCTCTTCCTTTGGGCTGGCCAGTAACCTTTTTGCCCATTATTTCCTTGATTAGTCAAAAATACACCCTAAAGGAACTGGGATCAAGGTAAAATGTCTTCACTGCTCCCATCGGCTCTCAACGCCTCGTTAAAGACCTTCTTAAGTCCGAGGGTATTTGCCAAGTAGTGAATGACAGTTTTAACATCGTGGGCCATGATGTCTGCCATGTGCCCCACGATGTGATGGGCGCATGACAGCGACGTGTGTGTGAATTAGTTCATACTGACAGCAAACGTGTTTAATTATAGTAAAAAAGCCATAATTGTCTTCGGTTAGCGTAAATGGAACCACAAAGAAGACACACAGGCCTGACGCCGAGACTTACTGGCAAACACTGGCGACTCGATTAGTTGAATCAGCTGGTCCATCTCCACAAGCATCTCCACAGACACGGCCAGTTCACCTCTGAGTAGGTAGACGCAGCGGTAGTTAGGGAATGATAAAATGGAAGAGGAAAGGCTGGGGCAAAAAGAGATTATAAAACATGCAAGCGCGCCATGATTCATTCAGAAACGCCTAAAAAGGGTTATTGCACCTGGCGGACTTTTGCGACAGACACGCGGTAGCACCAACAAAAGAACCATTTTAGAAAGTTCGGAAGCCTCAGTCGTCGGCACTTAATGCACCTTTTATTGTTGGTGGCTTGTTTCCTAATACGTCGAAGTCAGTTATTGTGTTGTTTTTTCTATTCGGGAGCGGTCATGTTGTTATCATTGTGTTAATCTTACAATGAGACGTCTGCTCCAAGTTATTAACAAAGAAGAGCACAATATAGACAATATTTCCTCCTGGAAGGACAGAGAAAATATCTTTGGCACATTCCTTAGAATGAACGCCTTGACAGTTGAAGTTGCACCGTGCATGCAGCTCTACATTCCTCCTGCGGTATGTAGCAGCATAGCTATAAGCTGCGTCAGGTCCAGATGTTTTGTAGCCCGCTACAGTTGCAGTGGATGTTTCCTTCCTTTTCTAATGGCACCACCTACGGTTAGCTGTGCATTGGAGTCTTAAAGAAAGGCCACTTTACGCAACTTTAACATAAATAAGATGAGGCAATGTAGTTTCATGCAGGAGTTGATCCTTATGTTATTTGAGTTTAAGCGATGATGATGTCGGCACGCCTCCCGGAGGGCGAAAGTCCAAATGCAAGGAGTCACGCTTTGATCCTCTTAGGACAGATTGTCAACGTTCTGAAGGTCTCATCCGCATAATGAAATTCACTTATCTGTTAAGGTGATTCTAGACTTAACACCGACTGCAGACCAAGGAAGAGTGCTTCGACTCCGTTTAAGTATCCTTCTACGACCAAGTGGATTCAGCTAGGGGAGTGGCAACGCTCCCTTTCTACAACCTGACAAACTCACGGGCAATGAGAACGGTCCTCTTTTGTGATATGCTGACAATTTGATTATCTAAAATCGAACGAGCCTTGGGGAGGCGAAATAGTGGCTTTGGTAGAGGATTATTGGCCGATTGTGTGTGGAATCTCTACAACGACGAAGAGGACCTGCGTCAGCCGCAATCCGCAAGACAGGGTAAAATAAACTGGCCTTATCTCAAAAGACCTTTCCAAGGGAGGAGGCGAAAGAGAAGAAGAACAATGCATTCAAAAATAACTTCACACGGACACCTAGAGAACGACGGAAGTCTACTACTGCTCTTACAGCTGGTTGTTGGCAGTGAGGACGCGGACCGCAGACCTTTGCAACAACTGTTTAATTTAACAACCAGGAGAGATGCATGGTATTTGGATGGGTTTTTGCCGAAAATGCTCCGTGTTCTAAACTAAAGTCATATTATGTCTCAATTAGTCCAGGCCACCTGCGTGCAGGTTTACAATTGAGGGCTCCCAGTGTTTTCATACTTGCCGGGTCTACGGACACAGGACATTTCTTTTAGGAAAGTAGAGTGATAATGGTAAAAAAAAAACAATGCGCCTAAAATGGGCTATAACTAAGACGTGCGCAGAAGAAGAAGTTATTTCGCCTCTCACGAGTCAACTAGGCTAGAGATTAGATCAAATGCAGTGTCTGGTGAGAGATTTGCCTCTGTCACTCACGTGCTCTTAAACCAATACTAACGCAGCTTCACTCATGTACTCGTCCAGCTGACCCTCTCTTCCTTTAAGTCAATCGCATCAGAAACACTTATTTCACAAGCTGAAAACGCGCACAGATGTCTCTAAGCGTACGAACGTGAAATTTGACGGCGGCAGCAGTAGCAGCAGCGTAAAAATGAGAATAGAAACGAGAATAATAGAAAAGGATACAGGCACTTGATGAGGAGACGACAGTGCGAGTAGTTCTGCGTGAGAAGACACAGGGCGAGTAGGGCAACAGGGTTATGACACCAGGCTCTGTAGAGTTGTTCGAAGAAAACGACATCCTCCTGCAGGGGGAGAAAAAGAAGGCGTAGGCATGAGCAATGAATTATCAGTCAAAGCGGATAAGGAATCGCTAGCATTCACTGCAGGCGTGGAGAAGTTCATGAGTGCTGCAATTTCAGCACAGTGGCCCAGATCCATAAGGCATGGGTCATGGACCATTAGGACAGCAAAACTGTGAATGAGTACGTGCTGAAGGGCTTAGCTTAACATGTGCCCTAATATTCCGGAAAGGCACTCGAGATGAACTCGAAGAGATCCCTCTCCTTGCCGTTTACTCACACGTCGGTTCTTGTTCTGTGATAGTAAGCTTAAATCAGTTGTAGCCTCTTCGGCGTGACACCACCATGTAGGTTAATCGACCGCACGAGATTTCAATGGGCAAAGTCAAACGTAGAGCTAAAACCCACTGAATAGATTTATATCCTGTTAATCGAGGGTTAGGCGAAACTAGAATTGCCGATAAAGATCTTTCGGTCCTGTCCGAAAGCCGCACCGAGCATTTTTTGCACGCGCGCTCTAGTCCAAGCGGAAGCGACTGGGAAAGGCGGAGAGACTAACACATAGTCATCTGTTGATCCTCGCAAAGCTTAGCGCAGTGACGAAGTTCCTCCAGTCTGCAGACAGGATATCTCTTTCCGAAGTTCGAGGCAAATGATTGCATATTTAATAAAGTGGATTTTTTAAGCAGCACTCAAAGATTATCACAGAATACGTGGGTTCCTTCAATCTCAGTGAGTAACCAGGCTGATGCTGAAATGCTGTCAAGGTTGTACTTGGTCCTGAAGCACCATCATAATGGGTAGAGAACCCAATCTAGGGTGTAGAAACCCGACTAACTGTCCTACTTGTGGGCTCATTGTGGTTCACGGTGGAGTTTCTACTGCTCCTTGGTCGTTGTTAAGCCTTGAAATGGATAAATTACTGGAATATTTCACCTAAAAATGCGACACAGTCTCTCGATATCGCTCCTAGCTGAAGTGGGTTTCGGGATCTCGGGTGAATTTACTTCTGACCTTACAGTACTGTACGGCTTCACGTTATAGGGATCTGCATTTCAGACGGGTCCAAAAGCGAGCAGCCTTTGCAT